GTGGGCATCAGTAACGTGTCTGTGCTGGCACCTATGGAACCAGCGGGCATCGGTAAAGTGTCTGTGCTGGGACCTGGTGCACAGGAAACACCACGTAAATTATTTGTTAAACAGTTGGGCAGCTACATGCTCTACTGTTACAGTCGCTGTTAGATCACTTCCAAAAATGGTAAGTGTCCCCTTTGACCTTGCAGCTCCTCTGCTACAAATGTAAGAAAACAATCAGATGATTTATGTACGAGGGCACTACCTCCAGCAGCCTCCAACTCTCGACTGTCTACACTCGAGAGTGGGGAAGAGTGAAATACATCATGTGTGATACATCATATAATAAAATGAGCAGTAAAAATGTTTACAGAGAGAATTACATGAGAAAAAGTGCTCAGACATTTAAGTACGTTCAGTTGAAAAAAAAAAAAAGAAAAAAGGAAGCAGGACCCAAAAGCACAACCCCAGTTTTGTTTCATTTTTACATATACGCCAGCACATTTTCAAACCAAGTGCATCCATTTAGAAAAAAGTCTAGAGGGAAACACGCTAAAATGAGAACAGCGATTATTCTTGGGCTGTAAAGCATTGGATGTTTTAATTTTATTCTTTCTACTTTTCCAAGTGTTCCATCCTTTCTGTAGAGAACGTGTATTGCTATTAAAATCAGAAAAAAAAATGAAATAAAGAAATGCTTTCAGAAGACTGGGCTGGTCAGGTTAGGTATGCTTAAGTAAATCTCCCGATTTTTAAATGTTGGCACTGATGGAAAAAACAAAAATTAAATATTGCAGGTCAAACACTGCCTGTAGTCCACATTGTCTGCAACCCATGGTTTAAACTTTAAATTTTCCCATAGTGCTCAGTGTAATTTTCACTTTCCTACTGTGACTGTCAGAAAACGGAGGAACTGGGGCGCCTGGGTGGCTCAGTCAGTTAGTTGAGCTTCTGACTCTTGATTTTGGCTCAGGTCATGATCCCAGGGTCATGGAATGGAGCCCCGTGTCAGGCTCTGTGCTGAGTGTGAGGCCTGCCTGGGATTCTCTCATTCCCTCTCTCTCTCTCTCTGCCCCTCTCCCCTGCTCTCTCATTCCCTCTAAAAAAAAAAGAAAGAAAGAAAACAGAGGCACCTTCGTTTATAATTAGAGTAATGCTTTACTATAGAGAAACAGCACGGAAAAGATTTAAATCCCACAAGCCTCAAAATGAAATATTTCATGTCACTAGAATGCCCCAAGCATGCATGTAAAAGTCTCTAAAAACAAAACAAGAGCAAAGGCCCTCCTCCATCACCAAATCTGCAATTGGAAAAGAAAACAAGATCAGCTTTGGTTTCAGTTTTTTGTTATCTTTCAACTTTTCGAAACAAGGGCACTTACCTTCACCCCATCCTTTGTTTCTTTTACCCAAAGCACCTCTATCCTGAAAAAAAATCTCTCCCAAATGCTTTCCAAAAAGAAAACAAAGTAAGCAAGTTAGCCTGGGATAGGAAACTGTCAAAGCCTTTAACAAATATTTCTAATACTTCCTGGCACTCTGTCAACCCACAGATGTACCTCCCCATTCAAGGCTAAGGAGTGCTAGTTAATAAATCAGCTGTGCCTTCCTGTTACTGAAACCTTGCTTACTGTTATTTTTAAATTTTTAATGTCTTTATTTTTGAGAGGAAGAGACAGAGCACGAGCAGGGGAGGGGCAGAGAGAGAGAGAGACACAGAATCCGAAGCAGGCTCCAGGCTCTGAGCTGTCAGCACAGAGCCCGACACGGGGCTCGAACTCACAAGCCACAGTATCATGACCTGGCTTAATGCTGAGTAGGGCGGGCCTCATGGGCACAAGACCCGTGTGGTGGCACACAGCCCCACTCTTAAGAGGCGCCCAGTTTGATGCTCTCCTGTTGCCATCTTGAAATCCTCACTAATTTTGAACAAGGGCCCACATCATTTTCATTTTGCACAGGGCCCCACCAATTATGTAGCTGGTCCTTATGGACCGGTCCACTTACCATAGATGATTGGTAGTTACTTGAGGAATAGATAAATGCAATTCAGAGATAACCCCTAAACCCTGGCTTAGAATCTATTTTTATGAAGCAAATATTGTCACAATGGACATTCAAAGGTAAAAAAGAAATCATCTGGAAAACCACTCCTCTGACACATTAACTGCCAGTAATTTTTCCCAGTTCTTCACCTGTTCTTGACCACAGAAATATTCCAAATTTTACACAGTTGCAACTGTTACCAGATGACACACAATTATCCTTTTTTTTTTTTTTTTAATGTTGATTTATTTTTGAAAGAGAGAGACAGAGCATGAGCAGGGGAGGGACAGAGAGAGAGGAAGACACAGAATCTAAAGCAGGCTCCAGGCTCTGAGCCATCAGCACAGAGCCCGATGCAGGGCTCGAACTCACGAGCCACGAGATCATGACCTGAGCCAAAATTGGACGCTAAACCAACTGAGCCACCCAGGCACCTCCAATGATCCTTTTTAATAGTTGCCTCATGTTTGACTTCAAGTTAGGAGGACACAATTCGACATTTTTCTGCTGATGGACACGAATATACACCTTAACGTATATCTTCATGAATACAAGTGTTTTTTATTTCTTTTTCTGATGGAGGCTTGTATCACCTGTGCAGGGGAAAGTAATGAGGGCACTTCTGTGGCTCTACTTTGCTGTAAGGGGCTGTGTTAACTGATCCTCATCCAGTGCTGTATCTGCAAACCACACTCTCACAAGCACTGAGCATTACCACATCTTTAAATTGGGTTTAACTGGTAATATAAAATGACTTAGCCAACAATTTTAAGTCTTCACTTAACCTATGTAACAAGATAAACACATAACAATCGAGGATCTAGATTCTGCCTTTTTCTTCCCATGTGTGTTCATATTGCACATCAAGTGACGGCAAACTGAAAAAGCTTGCAAAACGGGTGAGAGAGGGAACAAGGGGCCAGAATACTGTGCAAAATGGAAAAGTCCATTTAGAAATGGAGAATTAGGGCCACCTGGGTGGCTCAGTCAGCTAAGTGACTGGCTCAGGTCATGATCTCACAGTTTGTGAGTTCGAGTCCAGTATCGGGCTCTGTGCTGACAGCTCAGAGCCTGGAACCTGCTTCAGATTCTGTGTCTCCCTCTCTCTGCCCCTCCCCAGCATATGCATGCTCCCCGCCCCCCCCTGCAAGTAAACAAGCATTAAAAAAAAAAAGAAA